AGGTAACCACTGTACACCTGTATGTCACAGGTAACCACTGTACACCTGTAACACACAGGTAACCACTGTACACCCTTAACACACAGGTTACCACTGTACACTTTTAACACACAGGTAACCACTGTACACCTGTAACACATACCTAACCACTGTACACCTGTAACACACAGGTAACCACTGTACACCTGTAACACACAGGTGACCACTGTACACATGTATCACACAGGTAACTACTGTACACTTGTAATACATAGGTGACCACTGTATACCTGTATCACACAGGTAACCACTGTACACCTGTAACACATACATAACCACTGTACACCTTTAACACACAGGTAACCACTGTACACCTTTAACACACAGGTAACCACTGCACACCTTTAACACAGGTAACCACTGTACACCTGTAACACAAGGGTAACCACTGCACACCTTTAACACACAGGTAACCACTGTACACATTTAACACATGCATAACCACTGTACACCTGTAACACACAGGTAACCACTGTAAACATTTAACACATACATAACAACTGTACACATTTAACACATACATAACCACTGTACACCTGTAACACATACATAACCACTGTACACCTGTAACACAAGGGTAACCACTGTACACATTTAACCCATAACAGATAATCTAGTTAGAGCCCTCCTTTGGTAACAAGCTTGATAACTACACTCCATTTCTAAACTGAGTTACTGATATTTGCCTTTGATCAAAGTTAGGGCAGCAGAGTCATAGTCACTACAACATAATTTTCATTTGTGTACAGGTGTGTACTATTGTAATAGTGAAAATAAAACTTTAGAGCTACTGTTGTAGGAATCGGTCGTAGAGGATGTGGACTCATTGTTTCGTGGAATGGCATCCACCCTTGGAGAGCGAGAAGATCATATCATGGTGGCTGATCTTGCAGGTATGGACACATCTTTCACAACTAATAGAAAACAAATTTGTTCTGTGACAGTTCTTTTGATACATGTTTATAAATGACCCATTTCCTGACCCACTACAACCCAGGGATATATCCATATTTTGTTAATATAAACCAGAGACCTATACAAAAACATTAAAGGCATCTGTACAAATTTAGTGATATAAAAAGGTTTGAAAAATTATTATTATAACCTATCAATGTAAGTGGTCAGCTAAATGAATCAGGTTGCAGAAGCAGGATTAGGAATTATCACACTGTGGAAAGTTTTGCTTATTACATGTTTAATAAATCATTTTGAAATTGTTACACCTCAAGTGAATTTCTAACTATTTTATTGGTTGGGAGAAAATTAAACAAAAATCTCTGTCACCTTCTGAAAATACATTGGTTTTAAGGGGCATGGGTAATATTGCCATGAGACAGAGAAAAATATCACATGCGCGAAAAATGTGCGTTCCGGGTTCTTCACAGTGGCCATTTTGTCAACCCTCAAGAACCCATTGTCACCCTCGGCTTCGTCTCGGGTGACAATGGTTTTCTCGGGTTGACAATATTCACTGTCACCTGCTAATATTAGAATGTCATATTTATATGATGTTCAAACAGTTTTGTACAGCAATATTTAGTGCCAAAAGGAGTTTCAAAAGTAAAAATGTTAACATTAACCACTCCAAAAATTCATATTTAATATTGATATGTTATATAGTATCTATAACTATTTCTATGATCATACAGTACAATAAATATTTCTGTTAATTGATATTGTCTGCTTAATAAATAAAATAATATTCCCCTACTTATATCAGTAGTATTTCGACCAAAATATAACAACAAAACTTGGTGCAATATTGTGATGGAATACCAGTAGGATTTTCATTGCTATTTTTAGGTCACCTGAGCTTTAGCTCAAGTAACTTACTGCTATCCGTCTTCATCGTGCGTCGTCCGTTAACATTTTACATTTTCAACTTAAGCTGAAATACTGACCAAGTGTTGTTATTTTTCGGGTCAATCAGAAATCCAATATGGACGCCACGGCCACCATTTTGAAAAACTATTTCAAACTTAAAGTCAAGTTCTGCTTAGCCGATTAAACTGAAACTTTGTAGGAATTATCGACTCATGGTCCTGACAAAGTTTTGTTATTTTTCAGGTCGATCAGAAACACAATTTGACTGCCATGGCCGCTATTTTGAAAATACCTATTTCAAAGTTCTAATAGGTTGATCTAACTGAAAATCAGTCTAGGAACGATCAGCTCATGGTCCTTACAAACTTAGTTAACGTTATACTTAACAATTTTTTACTCAAATTGGTACATATTTCAACAACAAATATAAATACTGTAGGACACAGGTGACCGTTAAAGCCCATGGGCCTCTTGTTATTAGTGAGATCCTTCTGCAATTTCTAGTGATGTTTTCAGTGAGATGATTTTCCAGGAAATCCTCCGCTAACATTTGAATTTTTAGAAATTGTTAATTATGAATCAATATTTACCAAATTGACATTCCAGGTTATGTGTTTGGGCCCCTAGAGTTTTCCCGGCGTGACCTTGCGGCATTGAACATCCAGAGAGGTCGTGACCATGGTCTCCCTGACTACCAGGCAGTTAGAGAGGCCTTCAATCTGCCCAGGCTGAAAAGCTGGGAAGACATCAATCCTACTTTCCCTGCAAATGTTCCTGCATCAACTGTCGAAGTAAGATTGCTTCTATTTTGACTTTCATTTATTACTCCATACTTCCAGTTNTAACTACTAGTATAATAGTAAGATGAAAGACAAGGTTTCCGTGCGATAACTTGAGTTCCCTTGGATTGATTGAGCTCTAACTTGGTACACATATTGCATACCAATATAGCTCAGACAAGTTCACATTTCAGAAGTTTACATGCATTTTTGGTGGAGTTTGCCCCTTTTATTACCAAATAAGGGCATTGTGTAGTAAATGCAAGAACTTTTTAATTTTTTAATTAATTCCTTTCAAATTTTGTACGGTAATGCTAGAAGCAATAATGTTCAACATATATTACGGGTTTTCTGTCGAGTTTCAACTTTCCGTGTTATGGCATATCTGTTTACGCGATAACTCAAGCCAAAACACTTTTCTTACTAAAAGCACTGAGCAGGCAACGCATCCACTACTGTGGAATTCTATGGAAATTCTTTTTGACCCAGAAGGAATAACACATCAGTGATTGATGTTGATTGTTTTCCTCAACATTTGCCAGGGTATAACTGTATATATAACCAGGCTATAATTCCCCTGTTAAATTCTTTTGAACACAGGCCATAGCTAACCTACAGCAGCTGTACATTGATAAGGGACTGAATGGAACTACTCCTGAGGATGTGGACCTGTTCACTGGAGGCCTCATGGAGACCACATTTAATGGGCCAGGGCCTCTCTTCCGTGCCATCCTTGTCGACCAATTCTGTCGTGTTAGGGATGGGGATCGGTTTTGGTACGAAAACTTAGATAATGGGTAAGACATTAATAACACTGTAGCATTTTAAGTACACAAAGTATCCTTTAATCTGCCCTTCGCTGTCAATTTTTCTTTAATAATATACAACATTTAATATAGCGCCCTATCTAGCTAACATAAGCCACTCTAAAGCCCTTTACAGTGCATAGATATACATTTATATAATCAATACAATAAGCATATACATTATTCAATACAATTTTGAGGAATTTGCTGGAGCTGCCTTATCAGCTCTCCCTATGTGTGTATGCCTGCGTGTGTGCTCCAGATGTATTGTGTTCTGTTCGTAGTCGGACCGTGCTTCCAACGGCATCATTTATAGTGCCACCTCACTTGAATGCTACAGCGTAGATACAGCAACACCCACCCCAGACCATTTTCTACTCCACCTGGGTTGTTGTAGTTGTGTGGGCAGGAGAAAACACTTTCTCTGAATATTCCATGTGTACGATGACTTCAGGGATCGAACCCCGGCCGCCTGCTTGGAAGGCTTGAGTGTTAACCACTCGACCAATCTTTAAGCAACTTCTTCTCAGAACCATAAGACCTGGAGACATGATATTTGGATTACAGTGACTTTCTAGGGCAAAGAGTTATTAGTTTAAAAAAAATCAATAACTTCAACTTTCAAGGACCTACAATCATGAAATTTGACCTATAGCTTGCTTGGGTGGTTGGGTAGCACAGTGGATAGCGCACTTGCCTTTCACCAAGGCACCAGGGGTTCGATTCCGTGATCAGACGTGAAAAGGTATGGGGTCACCTGCCTGACTCTGGGTACTCCAGTCCCCCCCCCCCCGTGCTAACAACCGAGTTATAATAGCCAATGAGAATTGTTTCATAATTAATGCAAAAAAGCAGGTTTTATAGCTTGCCTGACTGTATGGGTTTATATTCAGCAGTTAAAAGCTAACAACCATTTTGAAATTATCACTTTTTTGAATGATTGATTAATTTAAGTAGAATTTCAGAAGCATACATGCATTTTAAAATGCAAGATTTCAGAGATAAGTGTTGTTTTGTCAACAACAGTAATATATTTCCATTTCTAACCCACTCACTGCGTATATTAATGTTATTATGTTTGATTTTACAGATTGTTTTCCCAGGCAGACATTGACAGAATCAATAGTTTTACAATATTTGACATCATTAAGAATGTCACCAATGTGGATGAGACCCAGATCCAGACTGACCCCTTTATACATATAACCAATGGTATGTAGGAGTAACTGTAATTGAACCATCAATCCTATGTTAAAGATCGATGAATGATTCTTAGCTCACCTTGCCTAAAGGACCAAGTGAGCTTATGCCGTGGTGCGGGGTCGTTGGTCCGTCATCCGACGTCAATATTTTACCTCTCCTCAATAACAAAAAGGCCTAGGGTGATGATATTTGGCCAGTAGCATGCTGGGATAAATGACTGCCAAGTTTGTCCAAATGAATGACCTTGACTCACTTTCAAGGTCACAGGGGTCAAATGTCTTAAAGTCTTCAAACAACTTCTTCTTAATAACCGAAAGGCCCAGGGTACTGATATTGAGCCTGTAGCACGCTGGTATGAAGGGCTACCAAGTTTGTTCAAATGATTGACCTTGACCCACTTTCAAGGTTACAGGGTCAAATGTCTTAAAGTCTTCACAAAACTTCTTCTCAATAACCGAAAGGCCAAGGGAACTGATATTGGGCCTGTAGCATGCTGGGATGAATGGCTACCAAGTTTGTTTAAATGAATGACCTTGACCAACTTTCAAGGTTAAAGGGGTCAAATGTCTTAAAATCTTCACAAAACTTCTTCTCAATAACCGAAAGGCCAAGGGAACTGATATTGGGCCTGTAGCATGCTGGGATGAATGGCTACCAAGTTTGTTTAAATGAATGACCTTGACCAACTTTCAAGGTTAAAGGGGTCAAATGTCTTAAAATCTTCACAAAACTTCTTCTCAATAACCGAAAGGCCAAGGGAACTGATATTGGGCCTGTAGCATGCTGGGATGAATGGCTACCAAGTTTGTTTAAATGAATGACCTTGACCAACTTTCAAGGTTAAAGGGGTCAAATGTCTTAAAATCTTCACAAAACTTCTTCTCAATAACCGAAAGGCCAAGGGAACTGATATTGGGCCTGTAGCATGCTGGGATGAATGGCTACCAAGTTTGTTTAAATGAATGACCTTGACCAACTTTCAAGGTTAAAGGGGTCAAATGTCTTAAAATCTTCACAAAACTTCTTCTCAATAACCGAAAGGCCAAGGGAACTGATATTGGGCCTGTAGCATGCTGGGATGAATGGCTACCAAGTTTGTTTAAATGAATGACCTTGACCAACTTTCAAGGTTAAAGGGGTCAAATGTCTTAAAATCTTCACAAAACTTCTTCTCAATAACCGAAAGGCCAAGGGAACTGATATTGGGCCTGTAGCATGCTGGGATGAATGGCTACCAAGTTTGTTTAAATGAATGACCTTGACCAACTTTCAAGGTTAAAGGGGTCAAATGTCTTAAAATCTTCACAAAACTTCTTCTCAATAACCGAAAGGCCAAGGGAACTGATATTGGGCCTGTAGCATGCTGGGATGAATGGCTACCAAGTTTGTTTAAATGAATGACCTTGACCAACTTTCAAGGTTAAAGGGGTCAAATGTCTTAAAATCTTCACAAAACTTCTTCTCAATAACCGAAAGGCCAAGGGAACTGATATTGGGCCTGTAGCATGCTGGGATGAATGGCTACCAAGTTTGTTTAAATGAATGACCTTGACCAACTTTCAAGGTTAAAGGGGTCAAATGTCTTAAAATCTTCACAAAACTTCTTCTCAATAACCGAAAGGCCAAGGGAACTGATATTGGGCCTGTAGCATGCTGGGATGAATGGCTACCAAGTTTGTTTAAATGAATGACCTTGACCAACTTTCAAGGTTAAAGGGGTCAAATGTCTTAAAATCTTCACAAAACTTCTTCTCAATAACCGAAAGGCCAAGGGAACTGATATTGGGCCTGTAGCATGCTGGGATGAATGGCTACCAAGTTTGTTTAAATGAATGACCTTGACCAACTTTCAAGGTTAAAGGGGTCAAATGTCTTAAAATCTTCACAAAACTTCTTCTCAATAACCGAAAGGCCAAGGGAACTGATATTGGGCCTGTAGCATGCTGGGATGAATGGCTACCAAGTTTGTTTAAATGAATGACCTTGACCAACTTTCAAGGTTAAAGGGGTCAAATGTCTTAAAATCTTCACAAAACTTCTTCTCAATAACCGAAAGGCCAAGGGAACTGATATTGGGCCTGTAGCATGCTGGGATGAATGGCTACCAAGTTTGTTTAAATGAATGACCTTGACCAACTTTCAAGGTTAAAGGGGTCAAATGTCTTAAAATCTTCACAAAACTTCTTCTCAATAACCGAAAGGCCAAGGGAACTGATATTGGGCCTGTAGCATGCTGGGATGAATGGCTACCAAGTTTGTTCAAATGAATGACCTTGACCAACTTTCAAGGTTAAAGGGGTCAAATGTCTTAAAATCTTCACAAAACTTCTTCTCAATAACCGAAAAGGCCAAGGGTACTGATATTGGGCCTGTCGCATGCTGGGATAAAGGGCTACCAAGTTTGTTCAAATGAATTACCTTGACATGCTTTCAAGGTCACAGGTGTCAAATGTGTAAAAATCTTCAAAAAACTTCTTCTCAATAACCCAAAGGCCAAGGGTACTGATATTGGGCATGTAGCATGCTGGAATAAAGGACTGCCAGGTTTGTCCAAATCAATGACCTTGACCCACTTTCAAGGTCACAGGGGTCAAATGTATTAAAATCTTAAACGACTTCTTCTCAATACCTGAAAGACCCAGGGTACTGAAATCGGGCCTGTATCATGCTGGGATGAAGGACTACCAAGTTTGTTCAAATGAATGACCTTGACCCACTTTCAAGGTCACAGGGGTCAAATATGTTAAAAATTTCAAACGACGTTTCAATAACCAAAAGGCCCAGGGTACTGATATTTGATCTGTTGCATGCTAGGATGAAGGACTACCAAGTTTGTTCAAGTGAATGAACTTATATTCAAGGTCACTGGGGGCAAATATGTTAAAAACCTGTAATACAATTTCTTCTGAATAATCAAAATGCCTAGGGTAATGCCAGTAACATGCTGGGATGAAGGTCTACCAAGTTTGGCCAAATGAATGACCTTGACATATATTCAAGGTCACGGGTCAAATATGTTAAAAACATTTTAACGACTTCGTAATAAGCAAAAGGCCAAGGGTGATGATATTTGGCCATTAACATGCTGGGATGAAGGACTTCCAAGTGAATGACCTTCGCCCATATTCAAGGTCACAGTGGTCAATATTTGTTTAAATCTTTAAATGATTTGTTCTGTATAACCAAAAGGTCCAGGGTAATGATATTTTGCTAGAAGCATGCTGGGTTGGAAGACTATAAACTCTGTTCAACCTAATGTCCTTGTTCGTTATTCAAGGTCACAGGCGTCATATGTTTAAATCTTTTAATAGGTTCTTTTAAAATTACAAGTGTGAGATTAATACCAGGTGAGCGATGCAGGCCTATTGGGCCTCTTGATTAAATTTTCATTTGCAAAATTTGGTAACAAATCAAACTACTTTATTACTGTACTGCTTAACACTGAATTAAGGCTGAATTACTTGACACCTAACTGTAACTTGCATTTATTGTAGGAAATACTCACAAGGTGTTTCACTTGGCGTGACAAAAGGTTTTTAGCTCACCTGCCCGAAGGGCAAGTGCGCTTATGCCATGGCGCGGCGTCCGTCAACCGTCGTCCGTCAACTTTTCCTAAAAATCGCTCCTAGTCATAAATGACTGAGCAGATTTTGACCAAATTTGGGAAGAAGCATCCTTAGGGGAAGGGGAACCAATTTTGTATAAATGGAGGGTCTGGCCCCCCTGGGGGCTGAGGGGCGGGGCCCCATAGGGAAAATATAGCAAATTCTTTAAAATCATTTTTCTCCTGTTGGAATGAAAGGATTTGTTCCATGTTTGGTCTGAAGCATCCTTTGGTGAAGGGGAACCAATTTTGTTTAAACCGTGGGTCTGGTCCCTGAGGGGTGGGGCCCAATAGGGAACACCTTACCTGCCAAGTGACCCGATTTCGTCGGGTTACACCCTGGATTTTAGCCCTTCACCCGCTTTTATAACTTCACCCGCCGGGTTATGATTTTGACTCGGATTTCGTCCATTTCACCTGTTTTCGCCAGGAATCTTGTCGTATATTAGAAGTTACCGAAGTCACTCGGAATTCTCTAGACTTTTCCATCCTTTGTCATAAGAAAACAATATATATCCTGTTTCCGTTTCTCACCGATAGGTGAGTTGTTTATATACGTACTAGAACTGTTTTATAAACAATAACAAACACGGATTTTTAAGATTTACGGATGTATTATAAAATAAATCACTAAGTATTTACATTACTAAACTGTTCTACACATAATATAATTTACATAGCATAGCAAATACATACTTAACTAAAACAAAACATAGAACAAAATCAAACAAACAAATTGCATTTAGGGCTGTCTTGGCTGCTGCATATAATTACACAATTACCAGCATGAAGGAAGATAAATTCAAGATTCCCTACCAGGTGCAAGTCCTAATCCTATAAACAGGAAAAGGCGGTCCTGGTTAAGGGAAATGAGGTAAGTATTAAAGTTTTGAGCTGGTAGACAATGAACAAATGAAGAATTGGAATTGAATGAGCAGGTTGTGGCCAGGCGGGGTCCTGACTCCTCTTGGAGAACCAGGCCAAAGTCCTGTACAACAAAGACTGCTATCATACATAGTTTGGTTATATCGCCAGGCGAGTCCTGAGCCCTACTGAAGAACCAGGCGGAAAATGGTCCTGTACGATGTAAACTGTGTATGACATGTATATGAAATGAATGAAACCCCAATGACTTTGGGGCTAATATTTATATAAAGACCGGTGTTACTGAACTTACTGACAAGTAATTAGTGATGTGTTTTAATGAATAACTGTGTTGTTTTTAGCTCACCTGGCCGGAAGGGCCAAGTGAGCTTATATCCCATGGTGCAGCGTCCAGCAACTTTTTCCTTTAAAACGCTACTAGTTCTGAACGACTCAGAGGATTGAGGATTTTGACCAAATTTGGTCTGGAGCATAATTGGCCAAAGGGTTCTCAGTTTTGTATGAACGGAGGTATGGTCCCCCTGGGGGCAGAGGGGCGGGGCCAAATAGGGGGAAAATAGGTAAATCTTCAAAAATCTTCTTCTTCTCAACCAATAGAAGGATTTTGACCATATATGTCCTAGAGCATCTATGGACAAAGGAGACTCAAGTTTGTATAAACGGAGGGTGTGGCCCCTCTGGGGGCAGGGCCCAATAAGGGAAATAGAGGATTTTTTTCTCTCCTACTATACAAGTGAAGGGATTTAAACCAAATGCAGTCTGAAGCATGATTAGGGACAAAAGAATCAATTTTGTATAAACTGAGGTGTGTGGGGTCCCTTCCTTGGGGCAGATAGGTGGGGCCCATTAGGGTAAATAGAGGAAAACATCAAAGATCCTTTTCCTTTTGTACCGATAAAGGGCTTTTGACCAAATTTGGTCTGGAGCATCATTGGCCAAAGGGTTCTCAGTTTTGTATAAACGGAGGGTATGGTTCCCCTGGGGGCAGAGGGGCGGGGGAAAATAGGTAAATCTTTAAAAATCTAGCTTCTTCTTCTCAACCAATCGAAGGATTTAGACCAAATTTGTTCTAGAGCATCTTTGGACAAAGGAGCCTCAAGTTTGTATAATCGGAGGGTGTGGCCCCTCTGGGTGCATAGGGGCGGGGCCCAATAGGGGAAATAGAGGATTTTTTTTCTCCTACTTTAAAAGTGAACAGATTTAAACCAAATGCAGTCTGAAGCATGCTTAGGGACCCCCTTGTGGACCCCCTTCTTTGGGGCAGATGAGTGGGGCCCATTAGGGGAAATAGAGGAAAACATTTAAGATCCTTCTCCTTCTGTACCGTTGAAGGGATTTTAACCAAACTTGTTCTAGAGAATCTTTGGGCAAAAGGAATTGAATATTCATAAATGAGAGATGTGTGCT